TTTTTAGTTATCATAATGAACTGATGGAATTTTTAAAAATACATTTGATGTGTTTCATTCTACTGCAGTTATTATCCTTATTGACACTAAGTGTTCCACATTTGAACCTTCAAGTTGGCTCCTGAGTAATTTTTTACATAATCCCAGTAAATTTTCTTACACTCTGGTGTCACAAGATGTTCCAGAATATTTTTTTCCCAGATCTAGAATTAGCCAGTAGTTCTCCAAGGAGCCATTTTATTTTCAGTGGGAAATATTATTTAGAGTGTAAGCAACACTCACTTAGTTTACCCAGTTCGGCCATTACTGTTAGGTGTTCTTTGTGAACAGAGCTAAAAATTACATTTCGCTATTTTTAGGAGGAAATGCATCTGAATTTATACTGATTTTCCAATTCAGATTTTGGATTTGGTTACTAATAAGGAACACTATGTTTTTATTTCTATTCTTTTTATGTCATCTCCACAAGAGAAACCCTAATCTTTTCTTTAGGTTGAAAATCTGTTCCTAGTAAAATTAATGTAATCACATATGTTTGCTTTATCCTACTATGTGTGGCTGTATATATGCATACACATAACATAGTATATATGCAGAATGAAAACAATATTATTAAGATTATAATTGAAAATTTTCACTTTTATTTGCAATTCTCTTTTGTTATTAGAAAGTCAAAATACTGGGCCTACCCTGGTGGCGCAGCGGTTGAGCGCTGGGCTACGAAGCTGCCGCAGCCTCTGCAGCTCTGGTTCAATCCATGGCCACCAGCAAGGGTCCCACATGGAGCGCAGAACTCTCCTGCCACACGCTGCTCCCCTCAGCAGTGTATTTCGTCAGTCTGCCTGTTCTGTTCCCTGCTTGGCTCTGGTGAATTCTCTCACCCTCCTGCGCTTCTGAACTGTACCCAGTGCTTGTATAAATAAATAAATAAAAATGTTTTAAAAAAAAAAAATTACCTGTACCATTGAACAAGTTTTGTTCTTAAAAAAAAAAGTCAAATACTGTAGTTGTTGAAAGTGATTCTGGGTATTTAAGCTACCAACCACACAGATTCATTTTGTCTTGTTTTAATTTTGTTTTGTTTTTTTTTATTTTAACATCATAGTTCATTTTTAAACAATATTTGCTTCCCCCCACCCCCTCAGGTGTAGTACCCATATAATTTCCTTCCCCAATGCACCCATGCACCATCACCTCAGTCCCCTGTGCTCCTCCCTCACCCCTTGTTTTAATTTTGTTTTAGAATGATGTGAAACATTTACATGGTTTCCAAATGTTCAAATCAAGGTATATTCAGAAAAGACTAATTTCCATCCCTTTCACTCAGTTGCTTCCCATCTCCAGCGGATGACTGTGCTGATAAGTTTTGATTCATCTTTCTCTTTAAAAATATAAACAAACAAATGTATATATTTACATTCCCCTTAGGTAAAATGGCTCATACTATGTGCACAATCCCCCATCTTGATTTTTTCAGTTAATATATTCCAGAGGTCATCTTATAATACATGATTTTACTTATTTGCAAAATGAAAAGAAGGTGCAGAGGCAGCTTTAGCTGAGTCTTCTGTAGAAATGATATCCAGGGTCATATTTTTCAAGTCCCCAGGAAGGTAGAGGTACAAATGAGCCACGGTGGCCTTCAGGGTCACGGGGGCTTCAGAAATGAGATGGAGGAGAAAGGGCTTTCTGGGATTGTTGTCCAGTCCCTGTATCTGCATCTCAACTAGGATGCAGTGGGATGCTTTCTCATAGCATGGTTTTCCACTATTGCAGGTTAAATTACAATTGAGTTCTTCCCAGTCTTGTCCTGTTACAACAGTGCTCGTGATAGATTATGCTAAGCAAGATAAGCCAGAGGAAAAAGAAAATATCTGATGTTCTCACTTGTAGGGGGAAATATAGGGAAACATAACAGAAATAAGGAAAAAAGAAAAACCTTGCCAGTTGACCCTAGATCTGAGGCTTACAGCAGGGGAGTGTGGTGAGGGCTCAAAAAGGGGAGAGAAGAACCCAAGGGACTATGGCGATGGTCACGGGTGCCCTGTTGGTGGGAGAATTATGAGAACTACACCGAAGGGGAGAAATCAATACAGACGATGTAAGAAAATAAAATAAAACACAATGATTCTTTAAAAATCAAAAACCAACAAACAGTGCTACAGTGACTAGCCTTGTGTAGAATCTTCTCGTGTTCTCCAGGCTCTTTTTCGACTTAGGCATATTGAGGGGAGGACTGAGAGAAGGAGGAAATTTTAAAGCCAGGCCAGAGGTGGGCCCGGCCAGAAAGCACAGGTGTGGCCTTCCCACATGATCCTGGAAGCCAGCTGCACCCCTCCACCTGCTGGCAGTGCATCCCAAAGCCAGGAGTTAATGCGGAGGAAAAGGAGGGCAAGGCAAAGGAACAGCTTCAGGGGTTCAGGGTGATCCGTGTGCCTGGAAACAGAAGCCGATAAAAGGGGAAGACCTGTCCCGGGAAGGAGGTGTGGAAGGTGTAGATGTGCGTGTTCGTGACGGCGTCGTAGAAGACGACCTCCCCGCACTCAAAATCCACACGAGATGCCCACTTTCCTCGGACAGGCGGGGAGGTCCTCCCGGGCGCCAGCCTCGAGGAGCGCCTGGCACTCGGAGCCTGTTATTCTAAGCACCCAAAAGCCGGTCAAGGGGTCTATCACCAGAAAACCCTCCTGGCAGCTTGTCCCAAGGCCACGCCCACCATGCAGGCCCCGCCCCGGGCCCATCCAGCTGTGTCTCCCAGGTGTGGCGGCCTCTGGAGAGCCCTGGAAAGCCCAGCACGCAGCGGAATGGGTAGAAGCATTCAGGGTCTGTGGGCTCATCTGAGCTCTCCTGTTGGATGAAATCCAGCGTCGCTGTCTTCAGATCCGGAGAAATGATGAGTTCTGGGTGGGCTGTGACTTCATCAAAGGTCATGGGAACTGCGGGAATATGAGGAGAAAGAGGCTGCTTGGGCCTAGTTGCCCAGTCCCCTCCAGCTAGCTCCTCTGGGTGCAGTTGGAGGGGAGCTTTCTCCTCCTGGTCAACTACACTCTCCTTCCCCAGAGTACTGCCAGCCCCCACTGCTTGAAGTTATTCGGTATATTTCACCTAGTGCTGCTCTATGGGAGGAGGAGGAGTGTCCTCTGGGGGTGGAGGGGCAGACAGGGGGCATCATTTCAATTCCCAAAGCTGAATTTATCTCTTTCCCCTTCCGTTCCTGTGGTTCCTGTTTCTCCCATCTAAAACAAGACCTTGGAGCTAGCAGAAGGGATGTTGAGACTCAGACTTCCTGAGCTCTGGTCATTTTCAATGTGGATCCCTGAAAGACAGGGAAGAGTGGAAGGTTGGATTACTGAAGGCGGAATAGTCGATTTGGAATACCTCCCCTCTTTTTCATTTGTATTTGGATGCCGAGTTTTTTCAAGACTAGACTGAGGCCCTTGTCCACCCTCTCCCGTGGGCTTTAGCAGCCCTAGTTCCAGGTTCCCCTAAAGACTCAGAAAAGGGAACCTAATTTTATCTTCTGATTTGTTATTTAATCATACTCTCTTTTTTAAAGATTTGTTTATTTATGTCTACAAGAACAGGGGTGTAGGCCAGAGGTGAGGAGGAGGGGGTGTGTGAGAGGATTCACCCGAGACAGAGTGGGGAACAGAACAGGCAGACTGACTGAAATACACTGCTGAGGGGAGCGGGCAGGCAGGAGAGGTCTGCTGCGCCATGTGTGTCAATCCTCCCTGGCCGGGAATCGAACTCGTGCTGCAGTGGCTGAGGACAGCCTCACAGTGCTGTGTCTCAACCCCTTGCACCACCAGGGAGGCCCTAAACTCTTACTGCAATGTTAATTTTCTCTTGCTGGATAGGCGGACTTGGAAGGGATGGCCAGGTTGGATACAGGAACGAGGGGGAAAGGAGAGGGCGGTCAGGGTCATGGGAACGGGTTAGGTGAACTGTGATTCACGCTAGGGTTTACCCTCCTCTGGGCCCAGCTCTGTCTGCAGTCTGTGCCTGAGCTGCCAGAGTCAATGTTGGGGGGATGGGGACTTGTCCAGGGGAGGCAGCGACAGGAACTTCCTTTATCCACCAGGGGGCACCGCAGCCCAAGCAGGAGGAGGAGCCGGGCACAGGCGGGAGCGCGGGCTCCCGAGCCACCTTCTCCTCATTTTGCTCAGACACCCGCATCCCCTCTCCAGCTTCACCAGTGCCCGTTCTCCTTTTCCCGTATCCGGGCCGCTCCCCGGGCTGCACTCACAGAGCGCCTCCTTGAGCTCCGCAGGGCTCCACGCGGTCGGCGTCGCCACTGCTGTTGGGGTTAGGGGAACCAGGGAGGCTCTGCTCCGGGGAGGGACTGGCGGCGCCTGTGTCTGCAATCTGGGGCTGTGTGGAGTTGAAAGGTGGCGGGCCGGTACAGGTGGCCTAGGTGTTTCGCTGCCTTTGAGGGTGAAGGAAAAGTAAAGGGGTCAGTGGGCGCGAGGGGGCGATCATCCTCCATTGCCTCAAAGTGCTGCTGAGCTGGGACGCAGCAGGAGGGATGAAGGTTAGGCTGCAGAAAGCACCCCTGAACCAGTTAGTGGTGTTACTGGGGCGGAGGTATAATTTGGGAAGGAGTAAAGGAATTGGATGGCATGCCCTGGGCCCACCCTTCTTGCTTGCCCACGCCTCTGGGAAGTCCACAGCCTTTCAGCTGCTTCTCCCAAATGCCTAGTCCTCTTCCTCTTGATTCAGCTTCCTACATTCCTCTTTCTGCTCCATCCCTGTTCCTCTTTATCTCAGGCTGGAACTGAGGGAAGTCATTCAGTCCTGCCTAGCTCTGCTCAGGGAGATGATATGTGATAGGAAGTGAAGCCTCCTCCCTTCCCTGGCGGCCTCAGCTCCAGTGTTCCTGTCTGTGTTTTGGGTGGAGAGAGCATTTTGCTTACCTGGAGAATCCGAGGTCCCCTCGCTGGAACATGACACAGGAACCCCAAAGACTGAGTATCAGGACCCTGAACTGGAGAGGGTGACTCAGGCTCTGAGGCTTGGTTTGTTTTAGGAGTATTAGTCTCTGACTGGCCATCTATGTCTTAGAGAGAGAAAACCAATTTTGGTACTGATAACCAGAAGCTGCAAATTAAAAAAAAAAGCCAAAACACTGACACTAAGAACAACAGACAAGGTGCTAGGGAGCACCCCTTCCCCCTATGGGGAAGAGTGGACACCTTTAGGATTGTTTCAGTGATAGCTGGAGAGGGTTGGGGAAAGTTCTGGCCTTTCTGGGACTCGGGAAGCGAAACATTCAACAGGGAACAAGGCAGGGAGAACAGTGGAGACTTCTTTGCAGACACCAATAGCTCCTCTCCCAGAGAAATGCTCAATCCTAAACCGCACTCTCTGGCTTTGGGATGCATTATGTCCTTTCTGACTTTGGTGGGTGAGTTCTCATGCTGTCTCTTCTCTTAATAGTCACATGATCTGGGTTGATTTACCTCACCTCCCTGGAGATACAGGGACGTGTGTGTGTATCTCTGTATAAACACTTCCTTGAAGGATAACTTTGGGGCTACAAATATCAGGTGTGAGGTATTTAGCAAATAGTGGATCTTTAAGAAATGGTATTTCCAGTGTAACCTCTCAGGTGGCAGAGCCTGGCCTGATAACTTTGGCTTAGGCTGCTGTTAGTGGGTCTCTGTCCCCAGTGGTCCTGACCTCACATCACAGGGGTTTGCCCACATGGCAGCTAATACTGCAGAGACTGAGCAACCTCTGCCTCCTCCCATCCTACCCCTTTCTCCCTTACTCTGAGGAATAAAGAAATACATTTATACTTTTCTATGACTTTTGAATACTTCAAAATTTTGCCAAAGTCACTGTAACTATGAGTTAACTGACTTCAAATACAAAAAAATACCCTTACCCCTGTTCTTTCAATTGAATGAAGACTAGGCATTCACCCACATCTAACTTTCATATAACTACAGATTGTCCCCCTTTGCTTTTCTCACTTTTCCCAAATGGCAGGAGCAAGCCCCAGTCCCCACTTACATTTTGTTATGTCCTTGTCACTCATGCCTTTCAAAAATTTGCTTCTATCTTTCTCCCCTTCATTCTTGAGATGTTCTGTGGGGAGAGAAAGGGATGAATGGAGAAAATCCGGAGTGGTTGAGCAAGAAATCCAGAATTTCATAGCAAGGCACTGATTTGCAGTAACAGAGAAATGGGAACTGGATTTTTCTCATATTCTTAGTGGACAAGAATGTATAAAACACTGAGAGGGCCTCCCTGGTGGCGCAGTGGTTGAGCACTGGGCTGTGAAGCTGCCCGCAGCCTCTGCAGTGCCAGTTCGATCCCAGGCTGCTGGTGAGGATCCCACATGGCACGCAGACCTCTCCTGCCACCTGCTGCCCCTCAACAGTGCATTTCGTCATTCCTTCTGCTTCCCTAAACTGGTTATCTAGCCAGCATTGCCAGGAAAATTATCTCAGCCACGAATACCATTTAAAATTTTCTAGTAGTAGGTACCTCTCCAAAGAGTTCAAAAACACTAATTCAAAAGGAAACCTGAACTCCTATGTTTACAGCAGCATTCTTTACAATAGCCAAGATATGGAAAAACCTACATGCCCAGGACATAAATGGGTCAAGAAGATGTTTTACATATACACGGCGGAATACTACTTAGCAGTCTAAAGGATACCATGCCTTTGTGGCATCGTGGATGGACCCAGAAGGGATTGTTCTACATGAAGTGATCCAGGAGGAGAAAGATAAACACCACATGGTTTCACATACATGTGGAATCTAGAGGAACTAAACAAAGGATCAGAAAAAGTCATGGTGTAAAACTGGCTCTTGAAAGCAGAGCACAGATCTGAGACAGGAGGGGAGAGGTTAGAGATGGAGGGGAGAAGAACACCATGGATTGCGGTGGAAGACTGTGGGCACTTTGGTGGCAGGAAAACTATGGTGATCACTCCTGAGAGGAGAAATCCTATATAGTGAGGAGAAATCCTATATAATGAAAAAGTAAACTAGAATGCTTAAAAAATGAAAATAAAATTTCTAGTAGTCACCTTAAGAACTAGTGAATTTAATATTAATTATAGATTGCATTTCACTCATCTTTTTTAAATAGCAATTTGGAGCTTTTTTTTTAAAGATTTATTTATTTACACAAGAGCCAAGGTACAGACCAGAGGTGCGGGAGGGTGAGAAGATTCACCAGAGACAGAGCCAGGAGCAGAACAGGTGGATCTACTGAAATACACTACTGTGGGGAGCATTGGACAAGACAGGAGAGGCCTGCCTCACCATGTGGGTATCTCCCTGGCTGGCTGGGAATTGAGCCCATACTGCAGAGGCTGCGGACCACTTCACAGTGCTGTGCTCAACCCCCTGAGCCACCCAGGAGGCCCTTCACTCATTATTTTTTTTGAAGATTTATGTATTTATACAAGAGCTGGGGTACAGGCCAGAGGTGTGGGAGGGTGAGAGATTCCACCAGACAGAGCTGGGAGCAGAAAAGGTGGATCTACTGGATTACACTGCTGAGGGAAGCAGCCGGCGAGACAGGAGAGGTCTGCTGTGCCATGTGGGTATCTCCCTGGCCGGCAAGGACTCGAACCTGCACAGCAGAGGCTGCGGACAGCTTCACAGAGTCATGCTCAACCCGCTGCACCACCGGGGAGTCCCTCATTCATTATTTTAAAAATGTTTGTGGGAGGAATGAGTAGCCAGGGGTCAACAAGATAGAATGGATGGTAAGTAGAACTTTGGTGTTGGGAATGGCGTGGTATCATACATTGAAGGGGGTGAAGGTGTACTCCTAAAACATACAGTGCTGTAAACCAATCTTACCTAAATAAAAACATAGCATTTCAACATGCAAGACATTCTTATGTTTAACATTCCATTTTCATGTAACTCTTAGAAATTCATACATGTTCTTCATTGACAGCACGCTTGGATTTGAACGAGCCATGTTCCAAGTGCCCAGCAGCACGTGTGCTAGCGGCCACAAAGTCAGGTGCTATGATCTAGTTTCTCCCTAGCGACAACAGAAGGCACTGAGGACAAAATGTGCTTTGGGTCCTCACTCTTTGGCTTCATAAGAAAGTCTGCTGTGGGGCCTCCCCTGGTGGCCCAGCGGGTGAGCCTGGGCTGCAAAGCTGCCCGCAGCCTCTACAGCGCCGGTTTGCTCCCTGGCCAGATGGCGAGGGTCCCACATGGCACGCAGACCTCCCTGCCACCCGCTGCTCCTCAGCAGTGTATTTGGTCAGTCAGTGTACCTGTTCTGTTCCCCGCTCTGGCTCTGGTGAATTCTCTCACCCTCCCGTGCTTCTGACTGTACCCAGTGCTTGTATAAATAGATCTTAAAAAAAAAAAAAAGTTTAAAAAAAAAAAAAGAAAAGTCTGCTGTGGTGCCCAGCACCCGCGGCCAGGTATGGTAAGTGAGAGAGAAGGTCTCACTCTCCTAAGGCCTGGATCACAAGTGTACCCTCCCTCCACTTAAATAGGGATTGAGAGGAGAAAGAGGTGGAGCTCCTGAAGTAGGAGCTTAGGCCCCCATCTCCAGGTACAGACAAGGAGACTGTCACTTGCTGCCCCTGCTGGGAACAGGGCAGGGGACTAGCAAATTTGTGGAGTTGAAGGATGAGTCCCACAACCTGGGACAAAGGCTTGGATTTCCTGAGGAAGTGCTGGACTGGGGGAAGGTATGTGTGGGGTTTCTAGATGGGGGCTAACTTTCGGACCCCTGCACACCCTTACAGTGCCCTGCAACTCCAGGAGAGGACAGATTAGCCCTGTGGAGGATGCCCAAAGCTCTATGCCACCCCCCACGCCCTTAAACTCTAGCTTCCCAACCCTGGGTAGCACACAGCAACCCTCTTCTGAGGGATCCACATGCTTACAGCCAGAGCAGAGATGCAGAGAAACATTGCCCGGGACACTGTGCCACAAGGCCCTTCAGGATCCAACCACCCCATGTCCACCCCTGGTTTCTGGACCCCCAAACAACCCACCCTTCAGACTAGGGAACTATGGAGATTGGGGCAATGGTATGAGTGCTCTCCCCAGCAAGCCCTCCTCCTCCTTGCCACAGACTGTAATAGAGTAAGGTGGGCACTGGAGGGGTGTGTGTGTGTGTGTACACAAGGAGGATTCTTTGATATTCCTAGGAAGGAAACTCCTTTCAGCTGTCTTTTCTCCTGGCTTAGATAAGCACAGCCTTCACAGTTGGAGGGGAGGGGTGTCCTTATAAATACAACCCTTATTCTGTTGCAAGCCCGGGTAAGTTTTTGAAAAATATCAGACTGAACATCCTAAAGTGACTTGGGAGCCATCCACTTCTGTTGGGGCTGATTTCTGTTTCCCTGCAAAACTGGAAGAGACATTTCCCCGAGACATCATTGACATTGAATCTATTTCAATGTCAGAGCTCTAAGCTTGCATGTGAGAAGTACAAACCACTTTTGGGAGATCACACAAACCCTGCCTGGGGGCTCAGGGAAGATAGGCCTGACCTCTCTGATCCACCAGTGGAGCACCAACTTGCAGGCAGCCACTGGGCTACTCAAAGGGACCCGCTGGGGCAAAAGTTCAGGCTCCCTCACCATCTCTGGGGAGATAACCTGTGGTGAAGACAGCAGGAAATACCTGCCTGGAAGCCCAGAGATGCTCTGGAAGGTGCTCCGCAGAGAGCCTGGCATCTGAAGGGTCCTGTGATTATGATCATGTGCAGAAATTACAGGTCATATTCCATGCTGGATGGGGAAGACCCCAGAGACGCAAGTTCTTTCTTACCTTTGAATCTCTTCAGGTAACTTGCCAGGTTTTTATGTCTTGATTGTGCATCACTGAGTTTTCTCTCCAGGTGAGAAGGAACAGGGGTTGGACTGAGAAAGGGAAATCCTTCACTCCTGGGAAGATATGACTGTGTGGATGATGGGAAGAGGGGATGGTGGGGAGAAAGAACCATGACAAGAGCTGGGGAGAAGGTGATGAGTCCTGGGGTGGGGAGGCAGTCAGGGGACAGCGAGCTGGGAATCTGGAGGCCAGAACTAGGGTTCTAGGATGGAGTGAGGTAGGCACAGGGAGATATGCAAATGAAGACAGGAGATAAGACAGACATGGGAGAGGAGAGAAAGAGGGCAGAGGAAGGGGCCAGCAGTGGTGGGCTCAGGAGCCCAAAAGTTTCAAGGAAACAAGAGAATCTGCACTGAAGAAATAGGAACCTCTAGAAAATAGCTCTTCTCTTTAACAACCAACCTACTTGCTAATTTGCTCAGCGTTGGCCTTTCCTACCTGAAGCTTCAGCACCTGACTGCAAAGGTAGAATGTGTGGGTATTTGTGAGGGAGGAATGTTGAGTGTATTTGCATATATGTTGAACTTTGTAGGGTAATGAATCAGTAGGTAAAAGGCATTTGGGACGGTCCATCATACCTGCACAGGATAACTTTGATGTTCTGGAAGAGAAAGAGAAACCAAAGCTTTAGTGCATGGTTGATGCACTGGAGCCAAGGAGGAAATGCAGGTGGAGCAGGGCAGGTGCAGTGAGAACACCTTGAAATCATTCTTTCTTCCCACCTGCCACAACGGGCTCCTCCAAAAAGTGTCCAATATACCAGGAGGCAGGAAAATGGCTAGACCTCAAGAGGAACTGAGTGATGAGGACGGGAAGAGGAGTGAGATTTTGGAGATGAATTTTGTCTTTGGGCCTAAACTAGAAACAGGAGAGGTAGGAAAGCAGAGGGGCTGGAATGACTTTCCATGATTGGATTTCTGAGAGTTCAAATGGATTTCTGAACTAGCAAGAGTGGGAAATAAATTCAGGAGGGACCTCAGCTTATTGGGGGCATTGCCTAGACCCATGCTGTCCAATATGGTAGCCACCAGATCCCTGCGAAATACGATGAGTATGAGAAGAAAGGAAATTTTTAATTTTATTGCATTCTCACTAATTAAAATTAAAATTTAAAACCAGAAGCAGGGCAAAACAGTTTTTCCTTTAAATAGACTATATTGATTTGGTAGGACTACGTTTTACTCCAACCATTGAAAATTTAGCATCTTTGAACTGAGGTCTGCTGTTGCAAAAAATACACATGGATTTCACAGTCAGTACTGAAAAATGAGACTAAAACATTTCACTAATATGTAAGAGATATTGGATAACAGGTTGAAACGATAATGTTTTATATACATTGGGTTATATAAAATATTTTGTATATTTTACAAACAGGTGAAATTTTTCACCTGTTTCTTTTTATATTTTTTAATGTGACTTGCAGAAAAAAGTTTAAATGACATATGTGGCTTGCAATATAATTCTAAATTACCTATGTGGCCCTCATATTTCTCAATTATGTTTATTGCTCTCCTGGAGTACTGATTATATTTCTATTGGACAGAACTGGGCTGGGGTTAGGATGGACAAGGCCAGGTGATCTGCTGGGAAGTCCCTGCTCTGACTCACCACCAGGGCTGGGCTGCTTTTTTCAGCTTGGTCCTGAAGGACTTACCTTGAGCATCTCTTTGTGTGTGAAGTGCTGCCTTTCCGTCAGGGAATCAATCTGCAACTTGAGAGAGTTCAGCTGAGTCTCAGAGGCAGTGACATAGACATTCTTCCCGCTTGCTCCCTCCTGAGCCAGCCAGTTTATCCTTGACAGGAGGAAATTCTCCTCTTCCTGTAGGGTCTGATACAGCTGCTGGAATTCTCTGGTGATCTTTTGCTTCTCAAGTTCCACCTTGGCCTGGGGGCAGGAAAAATACCCAGAAGATGAGCGGTTGACCTCCAAGGTCCTTCTAGCCCATTTTATTTCATTTTTCAATTGCATTAAGTTTGTACTGAGCGGGCCTCCCCGTGGCACAGCGGTTGAGTGCTGGGTTGTGAAACTGTCCGCAGCCTCTGCAGCGCCGGTTCGTTCCCCGGCACACGGGTGAGGGTCCCACATGGCGCGCAGACCTCTCCTGCCGCCCGCTGCTCCCCTCAGCAGTGTACTTCGGTCCTTCTGCCTGTTCTGCTCCCCGCTCTGGCTCTGGTGAATTCTCTCACCCTCCCGCGCTTCTGACTGTACCAAGTGCTTATATAAATAAAATAAATAAATCTTTAAAATAAAATAAAATAAAATAAAATGTTTAAAAAAAAAAGTTTGTACTGAGCACTAATGCGGAACAGTGTATTCTGTGGACAATCTGGAGGAAATGGACAGTGAGGAACATGAACTTGTTAAAGGACTTAATATGAGCTCAGTTTAGTTTTAGGTTATTTCTGTTTTATAATTTTTACCTTCAAGCTCCTCAGTATCTAAAAACTGACTACCTAAGTATCTAGTACACACCACATTTCTGAGAACGCTTTTAGTTTATGATCTGGCTCACATGGATTTTTCCTCTCTCTCTCTCTCTCTCTCTCTCTCTCTCTCTCTCTCTCACACACACACACACACACACACACACACACACACACACAGAGTACCAGCAGATACTGGTGATGGAAACTAAGAGCAGGAAATCTAGGACTAGGCAGAACTAACCTCTGACCACTGAACTGTATTCCCTCTTTAGGATTTACCATTAACTGGCTGCAATTGCATTCCATGATGAAATTCTCTGTCCCCCTTGGGTTGGTAGTGGCATCAGAGAGATCTGGTTGCTGAAGGGATTACCCAGCTGGGAAAGACAAACACCTGCACTGCCTGCCTCTTGGACTAGCCCTCTGTGGAGAGCGGGATGGTTAACAAGTCCTACTGCTATGGAAAATTTATCAGCACAGACCAGCGGTGGGGATGGAGACATCAGTCATTACAAAGAAACCCCTGTCCTTAGAGATTAACCCAACCAGATCTTAAAAGCGATAGCTTTCACAATAGGCAAAATTCCACAAAGGAATGAATCTCTCCAAAGAATGCGATATAAAGAAGCCCCTTGCTCTGGTAAAACGCAGCTCTCTGCCTTCCTGTGTCTATGCAAGGGACTTTTTTTCTTTTTCTTTCTCTTTTTCTGAATAAGGCTGTCCTTTTAAAATACAGCCTTTGTCCTCCCTGGTGGCGCAAGGGTTAAGACACAACCTATGAAGTTGTCCGCAACCACTGCAGCACCATTTGGATCCTAGCTGGCTGGGGAGAAACCCACACGGTGCAGCAGACCTCTCCTGTCTTGCCCGCTGGTCCCCTCAGCAGTGTATTTCCGTCAGTCTGCCTGTTCTGTTCCCCACTCTGTCTCCTGTGGATCCTCTCATGCCCTGCACCTCTGGCCTGTACTGCAGTTCTTACATGCATAAAAAAATAAATCTTTTTAAAATAAATAAATAAAATACAGCCTTTGCCTTTTTGTATTTATGCAAGTATATTTTCCTTAGTAAACTTGCTATGAGCTGCTGAATCAGAAACTGCCAAAATCTTTCAGAGGGAACCCACTCACTGAACCTCAAGATAGGAATGCCATCAGGTGAGTTTCTGTCTTCATTTCCTAACCAGGGAATGAATCCCAGTTAATAAGGGACGGTGTCTTAAAACTGGTATTTTGGATTCTAAGAGGCGCCCTAGTTTTCCTTAAGCTCCCTGTGTCTCCATGTGGAGGACATGGAAGCAGTCAACCTATTCCAAGAACCGGGTTCCCCCTGGGAGGTGCAGTGTGGAAGGGAAGCAAAAACACCCTGACCCACGATGCCAGATTCTTTCTGTCACTCCCAGGGACTCTCCTGGACACTCCATCCCATTCTGGAGCTGTTTCTTTGTTGCTGGGTCAGCATAAGAAGAGATTCTAGGGCCTCCCCGGTGGTGCAGCAGTTGAGCACTGGGCTGCGAAGCTGCCCGCAGCCTGTGCAGCACCAGCTCGATCCCCAGCCACTCTCAGCAGTGTATTTCGTCAGTCTGTCTGTTCTGTTCCCCGCTCTGGCTCTGGTGAATTCTCTCACCCTCCCATGCTTCTGACTGTGCCCAGTGCTTGTATAAATAAATAAATAAATAAATAAATAAATAAATAAATAAATAAATCTTAAGAAAAAAAAAAGAAGAGAGTCTAGTATTTGTAGAGCTGTTTCTCCTTGTAAGATCATAGGACAGAGACACCACTGCCTGAATTTTCCTCACCATGAAGTCGTTGATCTTCTGTTCACCTTGTCGTTTTGCTTGTTTTATCACCATCTCCTTTTGCTTCAAGACCTCAACTTGCGATTGCAGCTTCTCCTGTGGGGAGAGAGTTGTTTTGGCAAACTGGGCCTGGACCCCCCTCAGCCCCACAACACCATCCTGCTCCCTCAGGATGCTGGTGAGGCTACCAGGGCAATGATTAATAGATCTCTTTTTGCTATTCAAGCTGGGAGATGGGGTCTACTTGGGGAAGGTGAAATCTGAACTAAAGTGACCTACAAGAGAGGAATATTGTCATAAATTATAGCTAATACATTATGACTAATATTTCGAAGGTGTTTTGGAATTATCAAAAACTCCCACAAACTCTCCCTCATTTGCCAACAACTTTTAAAATACACATTTTGCCCATTTGGAAGGTGAGGCACCTGAGGCTCAAAGGGAAACTGATTTCTTGAAGGTCATTGTAGTGTCTGTGAGAAAACACAGAATCTTCGCAGAGTTTCTCAGACTGTTTTCCACCATGACAGGTGCCCCAGTAGATAACATTAGCTTTGGGATGTAGCTCGCATGTGAGGGGAGCTGTAAATAACATAGAACCTATGTACAGCTTGCATGCGGGAACACATATTTCTGTAAAGTAGGCTTGAGCTTGATCCTGTGCCTGCTTTGTTCCTAAATCATATAAAAGCTAATAGCACCCCTGGTGCTGGTAGGGGGAGGAGGCTCTCACTGGCCACACACTGAGGGCTGGGGCCACTGCTGTGACCAGAGCCCAGGCGGGCTGCTGCTGTTGCCGCCTGTGTATCTCCTGCTGCCTCATGATAAAGACTCCTGCTCCCACACGTGGGCTTCGTGACCTGCTTTCTCGTCTGCTGCCAGTGAGAAT